CCTTAGAACACACCTATTTTTCTAAATCTGAAGCACAAGGATATCTAAGTAACTTTTTTAAGGTGACACAGGTAGCGGCAAGGCTGACACCACAATACAAATCTGACGATGAAATTTTATGCTCCCACACTACCTCCAACTGCCCACTCTTTGGGAAACTATCTGCTAGGATTTCTTTGTAACACACTCATCAAAGCCTAGAAAGTTTCTACCTTGTGCAAATAGGCTTTTCTCCTTCTTGACCTTCTCCTCCAAAGTTCCTAAATGGAAAAGACAGACCATAATTCCCACTATGTGCTACCGGGCTCTGATGCTTTTTTTTTCTTATTATTCAGAACACATCTCCATGAAGTTCCAAGATTCAGGAGCCCAAACTTATGACCTTTTATCTTCTATATGATACTCAGACGCATGGAGAGATCAAGAGAGTAATGAGCCATAGAACAAAGATCACTTAAGACTGGAGGGGAAAGGGCGGAAACTAGATTATAGTAGAGAGAAGGGGCAACAATAGAAAACAAAAAAAGTGAAGAAGAAACTTGTGACCATCTCTGCCTGAGAAAGAAAGTGATAGGAACATCAGTTATTAATTGTTCCCCATTGTTGTTGTTAGTTGCTGTCAAGTTGGTTCCAACTCATAGTGACCCTAAGATCAACAGAATGAAAATACTGCGTGCCATCCTCACAGTGGTTGCTATGCTTTAGCTCATTGTTGCAGTCACTGTGTCAGTCCATTTCATTGAGGGTCTTCCTCTTTTCACTGACTCTCTATTTTGCCAAGTATGATATCCTTCTCCAGGGACTGGAACCTCTGGATAAAACGTCCAAAGTACGTGAGATGAGGTCTCGCCATCCTCGCTTCTAAGGAGCATTCTGGCTATACTTCTTCCAAGACAGATTTGTTCATTCTTCTGGCAGTTCATGGTATACTCAATATTCTTCACCATCATCATAATTCAAAGGAGTCAATTCTTTCTCATTCTTCCTTATTCATTGTTCAGCTTTCATATGCATATGAGGTGACTGAAAACACCATGGCTTGGGTCAGACCTACCTTAGTCCTCAAAGTGACATCTTTGCTTTTCAACACCTTAAAGAGGTCTTTTGCAGCAGATATGCCCAATGCAGTATGTTGTTTGATTTGACTGCTGCTTCCATGGGCACTGATTGTGGATTCAAGTAGAATGAAATCCTTGACGTCAAT